ATGGTGTGGTTTCATTCTTCTGCATGTGGTTGTCGAGTTTTCCCAGCACCATTTATTGAAGAGACTTTTTTTTCCCCATTCGATGTTCCTTCCTGCTTTGTCGAAGATTAGTTGGCCGTAGAGTTGAGAGTCCATTTCTGGGGTCTTTAATCTCTTCCATTGATCCATGTGTCTGTTTTTGTCCCAATACCATACTGTCTTGACTACAGCTTTGCAATATCGCTTGACGTCAGGCATTGTGATACCTCCAGGTTTGGTTTTCTTTTTGAACATTCCCCTGCCAATTCGGGTCCTTTTTGTTCCATAGCAATTTTAGGATTATTTGTTCCAGCTCTGTGAAAAATGTCAATGGTTTTTAGAAAGGGATTGCATTGAAAGTTTAAATTGCTCTGGGCACCATAGACATTTTAACAATATTTATCCTTCCAATCCATGAGTATGGAATGTTTTTCCATCTCTTTGTGTCTTCCTCAATTTCTTTCATAAGTGTTCTGTAGTTTCTAGAGTATAGATCCTTTTCTTGTTTGGTTAGGTTAATTCCTAGGTATATTATGGGTTTTGGAGCTCTTGTAAATGGAATTCTAATTATGCAACATTACTAAGATAAACAGTAAGACATCCAAATCTAGACCCATAATAGCATAACTGCAGTAAACACACAAAGAAAAAGAATTCTTTTTCCCCCCAAGAGTAAAATCTTTAAAGCAACCAAAAATTGTGGGGAAAAGGAGCAGAGTGGGGAACAGATTATGTTCAAAGGAGAAACAGGTGGACAGATAATTTCTAAAGAGCAATTATGAAAGACAAAGGGCAGTGGAATGACATTTTCTGTAGGATCAAAGAAAATAACTACTCACCTAGGATTCTCTATGCTGTGAAAATGTATATCAAGAGTAAGAGGAAATAAAGACATTTTTATTTATTTTTTAAAGATTTTATTTATTTGAAAGAGAGTGAGAGAGAAGGAGTGAGAGAGGGAAAACAAGTGGGTGGAGGGGCAGAGAGAGAGGGAGAAGAGGACTCCACGCTGAGCAGTGAGCCTGAAGTGGGGCTCAATCCCAGGACCCTGGGACCCTGACCTGAGCCAAAGGCAGACACTTAATCAACTGAGCCACCCAGGCGCCCAATAAAGACATTTTAAACAGAGATTCATTACCTGGCAGTTCTCACTCATGGAAATTTTAAAGAATGTACATAAATAAAGAGAAGAAAAATAATCCCAAATAGAAATTCTGAGATGCAAGAGGACAGGGAAAAAAATTAATATGTAGTTCAATTTAAATGAACGCTGGCAGTATCATGTAAAAGTTATAAAAATGTCGAGTATTTTTTAAAGATACAAGATAGAATTAAAAAACAAAGCAACAATATGCATAAGTTTGGAGCCATGTAAATTGAGTTAAAAGTATTCAAAACTCCTTGCATTATCATTATCCATGAACAAAGAGAAAATCCTCACCAAGATATCATCATAACAAGAGTAGTAATGTATGCAACAGACGAATGAAATCACAACTAAATTGAATTTACCTAAGAAATGCAAGGTTGGAAAAAAAAAAAAAAGAAATGCAAGGTTGGTTTCACATGAGCACATAATGTAGTTCACCACATTGACAAATTTTTAAAAAATTATCTCAATATATGCAAAACAAACATCTATTATCTTTCAACATTCATGATAAAACTTAGAAAACTAGTCGTATAAGGGAACTTTGTTAATATAATTGTAACAGAAAGACGCTAGGCGACCTCATAATAAATGCCCTGTGGTGTTCTCAACTTTTATAATCCTTTTCCCTTAAGTGTAGCCCAGATCTGTGACTTGACTCTAGCCATTAGAAAATGGCAAATGTAACAGAATTTTGCAGATATAATTGTTAATTTTGATTTAATCAGAAGGGGATTATTCTATGTAAGCCTGATTTAAGCAGGTGAAGCCCTTAAAAGAGGACTGAGCCCTCTCTGCAGTGAAATTCTCCTTGTTGGCCTCATGAAGTAAGCAGCCATATTGGGGAAGCCTACATGGCCAAGAACAAGGAACAGCCTTGCTATAGACTGAATATTTGTTCCCCCCACTCCCATATTCATGTATTAAATCTTAATGATCAATGTAATAGTATCTGGAGGTGGGGGCCTTGGGAAGTGATTAAGTCATGAAGGTGGAGCCCTCATGAATGGGATTAGTGCCCTTATAAATAAAGGATACCTGAGAGAGCTCCCTTGGCCCTGTGCCTCATGAGGAAACAGGAGGAAGACCAGCATCCATGAATCAGGAAGCTGGCCCTCACTGGACACTGAATCTGCCAGTGCCTTGATTTTGGACTTTCTAGCCTCCAGAATTGTGAGAAAAAATAAAATAAGACAGTTTACCAAGATAGGTTGAATCTAAGCTCAATATGCAAAATAATTTTATTTCTATAAGCTAGCAACAAACAGGAAATGAAATTGATTTTTAAAAATAATATTTAGGGGCGCCTGGGTGGCTCAGATGGTTAAGCTTCTGTCTTCGGCTCAGGTCATGATCCTGGGGTCCTGGGATCGAGCCCCACATCGGGCTCCTGGCTCACCCGGGAGTCTGCTTCTCCCTCTCCCCCTGCCTCTCCCACTGCTCATGCTCTCTCTCTCTCTATCTCTGTGTCTCAAATGAATAAATAAAATCTTTAAAAATAAATAAATAAAAATAATATTTATAATGGGGTCAAAAATATTAACTGGGAATAAATCTAAAAAATATCTGCAGGAACTTTATAAGAAATTTTTTAAACATTAAACATTGAGAGTTAATCAATTAAAATACTGTTAAGAAAATTATGTCTTTTCCCTATAAATTATAGAGAGATTCAATGCAATTCTAATCAGAATCTTTGCTTTGTAAAGCTTGACAAGTTGAGTATAAAAGACCTATGGAGCCTTTTCCCCCTTTCTTCTTTCTATTCCCAAATTTTCCATTCAAAAGCATAGAAACAGAAACAGGGAGCTGAGGTGGCCCAGAGTGAGGTGTTGGAGCCTGGATAGAATGGGGAAGGCATAAAAGTGGGAGAGCCACCCTGCACAGTGTTGGAACTCCCCTGAAACGTCAACAACATAGAATGTGGTATCACAGACTGACGGGAAAGAACAGTCCAGCATGGGTTTTCAGAGCCTATGGGGGCAGTCAATCATCTGCAGAAGACATGGCCTGGCACAGGGTGTCTGAGAAAGGAGATATTTACATGTCTCAAAGTACTTCTCCCAAAATACTAATTAATTATAAAGTGGAAAGTTAACATTCCAGAGGAGAAACCTGGCAGATATTACCTCCAGGATCAATGCTAACATGACCAACAATGGGACAAATCAAAATTGTAGGTCTCATGATAGGATGCAATGAGAAGAGTAGAGGACCACTTCATACTCTTGCTAAAAATGTATGATCTGAATTTTTTTAAAGTTGTTTTTTTTTTTTTTTTTCATTTGTCAGAGAGAGATTGAAAACACAAGCAGGGGGAGTGGCAGGCAGAGGGAGAAGCAGGCTTCCCACTGAGCAGGGAGCCTGATGCAGGACTTGATCGCAGGACACCAGGATCATGACCTGAGCCAAAGGCAGTTGCTTAACCAACTGAGCCACCCAGGCGTCCCTGATCTCAATTTTATCATAAGGAAACATAAGAAAAACCCACACTGAAAGACATTCTACATTACTGGAATTAACTGTTTAAAAGATTATAAGTCATGAAAATTAAGGAAAGACTAAGGAACGATTCTAAACTGAAAGAACTAAGAGACACAACATCTGAATTAAATACATGGTTCTGAACAGGACTTCCTTATGTATAGGATATTACAGACAAGTGACAAAACTTAAAAATATGAGGATTAAATGATAGAATGTACAGGGTGCCTGGGTGGTTCAGTTGGTTAAGTGTCTGCCTTTGGCTTAGGTCATGATTCCGGCATCCTGGGATCGAGCCCCATGTCGGGCTCTCTGCTCAGTGGGGAGCCTGCTTCTCCCTCTCCCTCTGCCTGCCGCTCTGCCTTCTTGTGCTCTCACTGTCAAATAAATAAATCTTTAAAAAAAAATGATAGAATGTATAGTTGACATGGTTGGAATGGGGGCAATTATATGCAAATGCTTTCAATAAATACATGATAGTACTGTAAATGTATTTCTCTTATGATTTCAATAACATTTTCTTTTCTCTAGCTCACTTTATTGGAAGAATATAATATGAAATATATATAACATACAAAACACAGCTTCATTGACTGTTCTGGTACCAGTAAGTTTTCTGGTCCACAGCACATTATTAGTAAAGTCAAAAGTTGGGGAGTCAAAAGTTATTCACGTATTTCTGACTGCAAGGGGTCAGTGCCCCTAACCCTGACATTATTCAAGGGTTAATTGTATTAGAGCTAGTTGTCTGATTGTCAGGGTTGTACAGTAGTTATGTGGAATGTACTGACTTGTAGGATATAAATGCTATGGGACTCAGGCATAATCTAGCAATTTACTTGCAAATGGTTCTGAGGGAACAAGTTCTTTTTTCTTTCTCTAAGTTTTCTTTTCCCTAATTTTAAGACTGTTTTGAAAAAGTAAATAAAAAATAAACAGAAAAAGTGAAAAGCCTTAGGCAAATCTTATTTCACCATGAGGAAAGAGCTATGAATCAGTACTTAAAATTAAAATTATACATAGGTTTTATGGCAGTATAAAAATTGTAATACATAGAAACATTGACAATAGCCTTAGCAGCAATATATCAAAATGATGTCTGTGTAAATCTCTAGGTCCATATATAGTAATAACAACTGGAAAATACAAAAACGCTATCAATTAACACCCCTGAAGTACTAATGACAATTTGGTTGGTTGGGTGCTGTTTAAAAAGCTGGTATTTGGGCAGCTTGAAGCATGTAAAACCCAATAGTGCTGGCCTCCACGTATAAAACCTGCTTAAAAGTTAATTAGGTGCCAAGAAACATAGCTTAAGATATTATATAAACTTTCATTACACACATGATCCAGAAGTATTTTCCTTTATTCAAGATTTTCACACAATACGTTTAGTAGGACAGAATTAAAATGTTATACAAACATCCAGTAAATAAATTTTACTGTTTGTCTTTCAGAACATATAATTTTTCTTCTAAGTCTGTAAAAATTCTTTTGATGATTTCGCTAGTAGATCGTCATTTACATATGATTCATAAGTACATTCTAAAGAGGAGGTCATATGCCATGAGTCTAATTCAAATTCAGCAGCTTCTGAAAAGAAAAATAATTATACATTCTTTATCTAAAATACTTTGTAGTTAATTACAAGTTAGTAAAAAACAAATTTGAAGCCTTATGAGTGTTAAGAAGAATGAAAAATATCTACATAGAACTACAATATAAAATACAAGATTACTTTTAAATATATTTTGCTCATGGTTGCCCACCGAGTTAATTGCTATTGTGGATAAATATCAGAGCTTCTAGTTTTCTCATTACAAGATGAAATTACAAGATGATGACAGAGCCCACCCCTGAGCAATCATATACTAGAAACTGAACAATCAAACAGGCAATTTTAGAGTTGAATATACCATGACAGGTATAAAACAAGACACTATAAGAACACACAAAAGGGACATCCTAGTTTTCTATCAATACTACATGCTTTTTGGTGGAGGTGATATATAAGTTGATACCTGACGTACAAGGAAAAAATGTGCCAGGTGGAGGCAAGACACATATACAAAGAACATATACAAAGAGTGAGGAAGAACACTTGTGGAATTGCAAGTAGTCTACGCTGAAGAGGTGCTAGAGCAAAGCAACAGAGTAGGGTAAGTAGCGACAGAGAAGGCTGAATAATCTGGCAAGAACCAAATTGACTTGGGTGTTTTTATTCCATATAAGGAACTTGGAATTTTACTCAATGGCAAAAGGTAAGCCAATGACAAAATCAATGACTGGAGATTTAAATATCACCTGTCAAGTGACAGCTATATGGACTATAATTGCTAAGACAAGTCTGGTAGTTTTGGTCTTATACCACTAGCAGAAACAAGAATTTGAGAAAGCCCACATATTCAGGTTGACGGTTCCATAGGAATGGCAGAAGTAAAGGAAGATTATAGCCAGAAATAATAACAGCTACATAGACATTTGGAGATTTAAAAAGCCTGAATGAACACGATGACTAAATGAGGAATAAGTAAGTTCTTCATTATGTTTATGTTTTACATTTTTTATTAGCTATATATTAAAAAAATTTAATGTAGTACCTATTATCCAAACAATGGACAGGGATACCATTTACTATTCATAGTTTATTTCAGAAATCAATGACCATCTTAATTCATAAATTTGGCAACATACCTTCTTCTAGTTCTCTAGTTATATTCCTTTCCATCTCCTGCTGCATCTGAAATAAGTCAAATATTATTTATAATGTTCAAGGGACATCATCGTAGGAACTATATATAGCTTATGAAATGTGGTTTTTAAATAACACTTTTAGAGACTAAAACTAAGTTAGGGATTGCTTAAATAGAAAGATAATGACATAAATAAAATAAATCCCTACTTATTTTAATCTTAGGTAACTGAGAAGAAACATATGTAATGCTATTTAGATGAATCTGATAAAAAGTACAATTAATATTGGTCTATTGAATATACATACTTTCTGGAAGAAGAGGAAGATGGCGGAGGAGTAGAGGACCGTAGTTTTGTCCGGTCCCTGGAATTCAGCTGGATAGCTTTCAAATCATTCTGAAGACCTGTGAACTCAACCTGAGATCTAAGAAAAGAACTGTTGCAATTCTACAAATAGAAAAGCAACCACTTTCTGCAAGGTAGGAGGTGTGGAGAAGCGAATTGGCGGTGATCCATGGGAAGATAAACCGTGGGGGAGAGGGAGCCTCCATAAGCCGGCTATCAGAAAGTGATAAAGCAGTGGTGTGCAAATCAGAACTTGTAGAAGTCTGCTCCGGTGAGGGACATCCCTGCTTGAAAGGCGCTCAGGTGCAGAAGCAGGGTGGAATCCTAGGTGGGACAGCCTTATCTCAGGATCACAGGTCACAGAAAGAATGGGGGTGCCTGAGTATGAGAGAGTTCCCAGCCATTTGAGCAGTGAAGCCGGCTGCAATCAGAGAGCTGAGGAGGGGGCTTTCAGCTCAGTGTTGCCATAAACCACAAACCGCAGCCAGTTGGGTGACCGCTCTCAGAGCAGGGGCCGTACAAGCGGCAGAACCAGGGCAAGACCTCCCTCCCTCCCCCAGGAGGAGTGGCACGAATGCATGCCACAGGAGACTGCAAAGTTTGGAAACTCCAAAGGGGGTTGCATGGCTGAGATAAAAATGTTCAGTCACAGGCTGGGTGTACACAGAATGCAGACAGAAAGCAGGGAGACAAGAGTGATTGACAGCTTCTCCATGAGGGCACACTGAAGAGTGGAGGGTGCCAGCTTTCAGCTCCAGGGCTGGACACTGGGAGGCTGACATTTTCATTCTCATCCTATAAAGTGGTGCGGAAAGCCTTCAGGGAACAAAAGCCACATAGAGCAATCCCGAGGCCCGGACTTAGCCTGGCCCCCTGGCAAGGGCAGTGCAGTACTGCTGGAGCAAAGACCCCTGAGAATCAGCACCACAGGGCCTCTCCTCCAGAAAATCAGCAAGAAAATCTGGCTAAGACCAAGTTTACCGATCACACAGAAATGCAAGACTCCAGCACTAGAGGAAAATACTATATAGAATTCATGGCTTTTTCTCATGATTCCTCAATCTCTCAATTGTAATTTTTTTCCCCATTTCAACCAATTTCTTATTTTATCAACTCGTTTTTTAAAACTTTTTCAATGTTCATTTTTATAATTACATTCTATACTTTCATTGTATTTAATTTTATTTTTGCATATATAGAAGTTTTTCTTTCTTTACAATTTTGGGGTGTAGTTTCTTCTAACAAACAAACCAAAATAACACCCAGAATCTACTGTATTGCTCTGTTCTCATCACCAGTCTGATTATATTCTCTTTCGCCTTTAATTCTTATCTATTTTTTTGGTTTCAGGTCTCCTCTGATTTGTTAAGAGTAGATTTCTCTGGGGTCGTTGTTGCTATTTTAGTATTTTGTTCTCTCATTCATCTATTCTTCTCTAGACAGAATGACTAGATGGAAAAACTCACCTCAAATAAGAGAACAAGAGACAGTACTGACTGACAGGGACCTAATCAGTATGGATAAAAGTAGGATGTTGGAATTAGAGCTTGGAATAACAATTATAAAGATGCTAGCTGGGCTTGAAAAAGCACAGAAGACACTACAGAATGCCTTTCTGGAGAAATCAAAGAACTAAAAGCTTAACAAATCGAAATCAAAAGGCTATTAATGAGATGCAGTAAAAAATGGAGGCTCTACCTCTGGAAAACAGTATGGAGCTTCCTCAAGAAGTTAAAAATAGAGCTACTCGATGACCCAGTAATTGTACTACAAGGTCTTTACCGCAAAGATGCAAATGTAGTGATCAGAAGGGGCACCTGGACACCAATTTTTATAGCAGCAATATCCACAATAGCCAAACTGTGGAAACAGCCCAAATGTCCATCAACAGACGAATGGATAAAGAAGATGTGGTATATATAAATACTATGGAATATTACTACGCCATCAAAAGGATGAAATCTTACAATTTACATTGACGTGGATGGAAATGGAGGGTATTTTGCGGAGAGAAAAGTCAATCAGAGAAAGACAATTATCATATGGTTTCATACATATGTGAAATATAAGAAAAAGTGCAGAGAATCATAGGGGAAGGGAGAGAAAACTAAAAAGGGAAGAAACCAGAGAGGGAAACAAACCATGAGAGACTCTTAACTATAGGAAACAAACAGGTTTGTTGGAGGGGAGGTGGGTGGGGGGATGGGGTAAGTGGGTGATGGGCATGAAGGAGGGCACGTGATGTGCAGAGCACTGGGCGTTATATACAACTGATGATTAACTGAACACTACATCTGAAACTAATGATATATCATATGTCAGCTAACTGAAGAGAAATTTTAGGAGTGCCTGGGGGGCTCAGTTGGTTAAGCGGCTGCATTCGGCTCAGGTCATAATCCGGGGTCTCGGGATCAAACCCATGTTGGGCTCCTTGCTCAGCGGGGAGTGTGCTTCTCCCTCTCTGTGCTCTCTCTCTCACTATCTCTATCTCTGTGTCAAATAAGTAAATATATTCTTTAAAATAAAATGAAATTTTAAAAAATTTATCATATATGTATGGGTAATGGTGAAGTAAAACGTTATTTTTTTTAAGATTTTTTATTTATTTATTTGACAGAGAGACCAGCGAGAGAGGGAACACAAGCAGGGGTAGGGGCAGAGGGAGAAGCAGGCGCCCACAGAGCAGGGAGCCCAATGGGGGGCTCAATCCCAGGACCCTGGGATCATGACCTGAGCCGAAGGCGGACGCTTAATGACTGAGCCACCCGGCGCCCCAATAAAACATTATTTACTTATCTTTTCCAGACTGACTGAGCTATACTTAATAAAAATTATGTATTTAAAATAAAAAAAAAATTGGATGCTCTGCTAGAATAAATGAGGCAGAAAGGAGAAGTAGTGATATAGAAAAGAAAATAAAATGATGGAGTATAGGGACACCTGGGTGGCTCAGTCATTAAGTGTCTGCCTTTTCCTCAGGTCATGATCCCATGGTCCTGGGATCGAGCACCGCATGGGGCTCTCTGTTCAGCGGAAAGCCTGCTTCTTCCTCACCCACGCCCCCTGCTTGTGTTCCCTCTCTTGCTGTGTCTCTCTCTGTCCAATAAATAAATAAAACCTTTAAAAAAATAAAAAAAATTAAAAATAATGGAGAACAAAGAAGCTGAGGAAAAAGAGAGATAAACAACTACTTGATCATGAGGCGAGAATTCAAGAGATAAGTGATACCATAAAGCGAAACAATAGTAGAATAATTGGGATCCCAGAAGAAGAGGAAGGGGGGGTGGAAGAAGGTATATTCTAGAAATCATAGCAGAAAACATCCCTAATCTGGGGACGGAAACAGGCATTCAAATCAAGGAGGCACAGAAAACCCAACCCACATCAACATCAATAAAAACATACAGTAGTGAAGCTTGCAAATTTCAGAGACAAAGAGAAAATCCTGAAAGCAGCTCGGCACAAGAGGTCCTTAACCGACAAGCGTAGAAACATTCGACTGGCAGCAGACCTAACCACGGAGACCTGGCAAGCCAGAAAGGACTGGCATGATATATTCAGGGTGCTAAACGAGAAAAATATGCAACCAAGAATACTGTATTTATCCAGCAAGGCTGTCATTCAAACTTGAAGGAGAGATAAAGAGTTTCCAGGACAAACAGAAACTAAAACATTTGTGATCACTAAACCATCCCTGCAAGAAATATTAAAGGGGATCCTTTACACAAAGAGAGAGCCCCACAGTAACACAGACCAGAAAGGAACACAGACAATATATAGAAACAGTGACATTACAGGTAATACAATGGCACTAAATTCATATCTTTCAATAGTTACCCTGAATGTAAATGGGCCAAATGTCCCAATCAAAAGGTGCAGGGTATCAGATTGGATAGAAAAGCAAGACCCATTGATATGCTGTCTGCAAGAGAATCAGTTTAGACCCAAGGACACCGCCAGATTGAAAGTGAGGGAGTGGAAAACAATTTATCATGCTAATGGACATCAAAAGAAAGCTGGGGTAGCAATCCTTGTATCAGACAAATTAGATTTTAAACCAAAGACTGTAATAAGAGGTGAGGAAGGACACTATCATAATGAATTAAAGGGGTCTATCCAACAAGAAGATCTAACAATTGTAAATATTTGTGCCCCTAACATGGGAGCAGCCAATGACATAAACCAATTAATAACAAAATTAAAGAACACATGGATGATGATACAATAATAACAGCAAATGACACAGTGGACTGCGGGAAACAGAACACCACAACAACCACTGGTGCATATTCATTCAGATTCCGAGGTCTCTGAGAAAACTTGAGATTGCAGGGTTAAAAATAAGCCGAAAGGATCAGAGTGAAATGCCCTTGGGACGTGTGCGGTCTGTTCTAAAGTATGCAGCAGAAGATGTTTTGTAGATAGGAAGCCACCTGTAAATAGCACACTGTGCACTCCCCTCTTGGTTCCCTTGCCCTGTAAATAGCACACTGTGCACTCCACTCTTTGCTCCCTTGTCCTGTAAATAGCACACTGTGCACTCCCCTCTTGGTTCCCTTGTCCTGCTTTAAAGATTCTTATCATACACGCGGGACTAATCCTATGTACATGGAAGAATATGCCTTACTAAGCCCCTGCTGTAAATCATTATAGATCTATATCGCTGTAGAAGGTATATAAGATTATGGAAAATAAACCTCG